AGGGGTCTGGACAAAAGCATGCTAGGAGGCGGCAGTGGGGTATGTGAGGCCCATTTCCTTCTGGGGGCAAATTCAGCAGGATGCCCAGGAATGGTTCAGCACGGAGACCCAGGGCCAGGTCCTGCCTCTGCTCCTGCCTCAGCCACCGGCTCCCTGTGTGACCTGATGTAAGTCCCTGTCCCCACTTCACCTGTGTTTCCGCATCTGTCTGTACAGGGGACCTCAGGACTTGGCCATCTTGTAGTCCTCACCCCTGTGAAGATGCCCAGGCAGTGCCTGAGGCAGGCCCTCTCCATCAGCCTGTCTCCTGCACTGCCCCCCAGGCCCAGCCGAGGCCCTGAAGGAGCCAAACTGGACTTTCACAGGATTTTATTTAAATCCTTGCACTCCCAGGCTGGGTGCAGTGACTGAGGCCTGTAATCCCAGCACTTTGGGGGATTGAGGCAGGTGGATCACCTGAGGCCAGGAGTTCAAGACCAGCCTGGCCAAAATGGCAAAATACCATCTTTGCCATAAAAGCAAAACAAATTAGCCAGTCCCAGTGGCTTGGGCCTGTAACCCCAGCTACTTGGAAGGCTGAGGCACAAGAATCGCTTGAACCCGGGAGGCAGAGGCTGCAGCAAGCCCAGATCACGCCACTGCACTCCAGTCAGGGCAACAGAGTAAGACTCTGTTTCAAAAAAAATAAACAAATCCTTGCACTCCCAGCCCCAGTCAGGAAGTTGAATGTTGTGTCCAGGACACAGGGCATCTTCATAGGCCATGAGGTTCTGGAAGGAGTTACAACATTTAAATCTCACCCGAGGCTGGGCACGGTGGCTCATGCCTGTAATCCCAGCACTTTGGGAGGCTGAGGCAGAGGATCACCTGAGGTCAGGAGATCAAGACCAGCCTGGCCAACATGGTGAGACCCCGTCTCTACTAAAAATACAAAAATTAGCTGGGCATAGTGGCGGGTGCCTGTAATCCCAGCTACTCGGGAGGCTGAGGCACAAGAATCACTTAAACCCAGGAGGTGGAGGCTGTAGTGGGCTGAGACTGCACCATTGCACTCCAGCCTGGACGAAAGAGTGAGACTCCATCTCAAAAATAAAATAAAATTTTAAAAGGATTAAAAGATCTTACCCCAAACTTCTAAGCAGTGCTCAAAAGCCTTGGAATCTTAAGTCCCCATGGGACGCCTGGTGCTGACCACTGAGGCCTGCAGTACGAGGACATGGTGCTGAGCTGAGGCCCTGGAGGTGGACCAGCTGGACTGGAGGCCTGGCACGGCCTCTCACTAGCTCTGTGACGGATTCGCCACTCTGCAAAACTGGAATCATGGCCCTAGCTCAGGTTTGTGCAAGGACTACATGAAACCCCAAACAATGAAATTGGTAAATGTTATTATTACTAAGACTAACTGACCTTTCTTTTGAGGCAGCACAGCATAGTGGCTAAGAGCGCAGAGGAAGCGCTTGGATATAAATCCCAGCTCCTCCACGTGTCCTGTGCCCTCTCAGTGCTTGTTTTCTCATGGGAAGTGGGGGGCTGGTTATAATCGTATCTACCCCCAGGGAAGTAGTAAGGATTAAATCACTATGCAGATACAAACAGAACATCCTCGTGACTCAAGGGAACTGCTATGTTAGTGTTGCTGTTATGATCATCATTTTTTTGAGATGGAATCTCGCTCTGTCTCCCAGGCTGGAGTGCAGCGACGCAATCTCGGCTCACTGCAACCTCTGCCTCCTGGGGTTCAAGCAATTCTCCCACCTCAGCCTCCTGAATAACTGGGATTACAGGTGTGTTCCACCATGCTCGGCTAATTTTTTGAATTTTTGTAGAGATGGGTTTTCACTATGTTGGCCAGGCTCATCTTGAACTACTGACCTCAGGTGATCCACCCACTTTGGCCTCCGAAAGTGCTGGGATTACAGACATGAGCCACTGCATCCAGCCACGTTGCTGCTATTAATTCATCAATGATGCGCCCCCAGTTCGGCAGGTTATCCCGGAAGTTGCCCTAGAGGCAGAATTTTTCTCAGACCTTCCTGTGGCCCTGTGGCCCCTCTTCTGCTCTCAGGCTCCATCCCAGTAGCACCTCACACTGAGCACGTCCAGTGTAAATATCCTACATAGTGCTGCTCCAGGTGAAGCTCTTTTGCCATCCAAAATATGCAAACTCTATTCTTTCTGGGGGCTGCCATCCTTCTCCCACACCTGGAGCCCAGTGGAAGGCACAGGTGTAGGCAGCTCCACTTTCAGAAATGGAGGCCCCTCCAGACCTCAACCCAGATGATTTCCTGGACAGTCTAGAACGCTGGGCCACTTTCTTCCTTGGCAGAGGGCAGGTCTGGATTTCTCAGGTTGATATTTTCATGAACTGCACTTCAGCTTGGGTGACAGAGCAAGACCTTAACTAAAAAAAAAAAAAAAAGAACAGAATCTATCACAAAAAAGAACGGAGTCCATCACATCTGTGTTCACAACTTGCCCATGGGTCCTGGCTTTCCCTGGCTAAAAGTCAAAGTCCTTACTGGCCCACTAGGTCCCGCACGTTTCACAGATGTCTACCTGCAAGTGCCACCGTGACCCCTTCTTGCTCTGATCCAACCACACTGTCTCTTCAGTACATCAGCCAGTCCCACCTCAGGCTTTGCACGCTGTTTCTTCTTCCTGAAAGGCTCTCTCCCCAGAATCCACATGGCTTACTCTCTCAGGACCTCCAGGTTTCTGCTAAAATGACACTTGCCAAAGAAGCCCTCCCTGCCCAGATTTCCTAAGTCCCTAAGAGGCCCCACCCCCTACTCTGCTTCATTTATCACACTTGGCACACATTCATTCACTTGCTGATTGCCTGCTCAGTGACGTGCCTCCAGCTGTCCTCCCCGTCTCTCTCTGGGATCATTTCCATCAGCATAAATGTACTGTTGCTTCTCTCTCGACACACTTCTCCTTCTTCAATACTGCCTCGTTTTTCTGTTCCCTTTGCAGCAAAACCTCCTGAAAGAGTTTTCACTGGACAAGGTTAATTTCCCCCTTGCCTTTCTTTCTTGAACCCACTCCAGGCAGGCTGTCACCTCCACCACCCTGTGAACCTGCACCTGCCAAGATCACTGGTGCCTTCCCTCCCACTAAGTTGAGGTCAGTGGCCAGCTCCTCCCCAGCTCCTCTGCCAGTTCCTCCTCCCCTTCCAGGAGAGGGACAGCTGCACCTTCTCTCTTCTTTGTCCACATCTACTCTTCTGCTGGACTCACCAGGCTCATGCTTCTGTGTTTTGAGTTTTGGGTTTTTGTTTTGTTTATTGAGACAGGGTCTCACTCTGTTGCCTAGACTGGAGTGCAGTGGCATGATTGTGGCTCACCGCAGTCTTGACCTCCTGGGCTCCTCCTACCTCAGCCTCCCAAGTAGCTGGAACTAAAGGCATGCACCGCCATGCCTGGCCAATTTTTTGTAATTTTTGTAGAGATGAGGTTTTGCCAAGTTGCCCAGGCTGGTCTCAAACCCCTGGACTTGAGAGATTTTCCCACTTCAGACTCCCAAAGTGCTGGGATTACAGGCATGACAGGCTTATGTTTTAAATAAAATCTATCAGTAGCCGGGCGCGGTGGCTCAAGCCTGTAATCCCAGCACTTCGGGAGGCCGAGGCGGGTGGATCATGAGGTCAAGAGATCGAGACCATCCTGGTCAACATGGTGAAACCCCGTCTCTACTAAAAATACAAAACATTAGCTGAGCATGG